AACTTAATTTGTGCAAACATAAATATAGTGAATGTAAAAATATTTGTGAATTTTTGTCAGAATGTAGAAAAAAGTAAAAATTGGTAAAGGGCCCATATTTAGATAAAAAGTTAAATGCTGATGCAAGAATCTAGCATGGCCTCTGGGGTCACCACCACCCCCCACCCCCCATTCATTCATCCTTAAAAAACTTTTATTTGTCTAGATTCTTCTCTCACATATCAATACTTTGGAACTCATCTTTATGTTTTCCTAACTTATATATTTATAGTATTTTTAACTTGCTGTCAAACAGTATTCTTTTTTTTCTGGTAACTACCAACTTAAATAGTGGTGGCTTGCAGCCTTGTTGGGAGTGAGTTACTTTTGAAAAAGAAACTCAATCTTTCATGACGCATATTTCAGATAAGTCACTTTCTTTTATTGTAACATCATGCTGAAAAAATCTTTAATCATCTAGTTTTTTTCTCATTTTTTTCCTTGAAAAATATGATGAAAAAATCCAACATTAAAAGCAGGGTTGCAAACCAAAAAACCCATGGTTTTTTTGGTTTTTCAACTTAAAATAAACAAGACCAAAAGTTGAAAAATTATTTCGATTCCAGCACAAGAAGCTGGTGCATTTAATAAACCTTCAGTTTCCATTGTGTTATAGTAGATTTGGCTTTTAATTTGAATAATATTGGTAACAAATTTTTGACCTGTTTATCTGCGAAATTCATGGCAGCTTCATTTTCATTTTCAGAAAGATTAGATCCAAAATATCTAGGATCTAGTGTGTTTGCCAGGAAATGAGCATCACTGACAGTCTGAAGGTATCTAGATTCAATTTTTTTTTTGTTTGATAAAAATGATTAACTGTTCATCAAATTTTTTAAAAATTTCAAGAGTCACTTATTTTTGTTTGATCTCTTTGCAACTTATCTAGAGCTACTGCAATTGGTTTCAATATTTTCAATAAATCTTCTGTGTTTCGCTTTATCTGTATATCACTTACTTTTTTACCAATCACGGGATCCAAGTCTTTATTTTTTTTAAACATTGTAAAAATAATGCTCCAGTTGTTGACATATTTTTCAAGTGAATCACATACAGAATTCCAGCAAGTTTCAGTAGGAAGTGGCAATTTTGTTCCTCCACTTAATTTATAAATTGCTCCAGCTTGATGATTATTTCTTATATATTTTATTATTTGTGTAACATGTTTGCTCAAATTTTCAATGTTAAGATCATTTGCTAAAAGATTCAGCATATGAGCAGCACACCCATAAGTTATGATAATATCTCTTTCAGATGACAATACTTGTCTCATTGATTTCACATTAGCTGCATTGTCAGTCACAAAGCTTTTTACTGTGCATCCAAATTTACATCTTACAAAATCTATTGCTTCTCTTGCTAATTGTGTAAGATATTCACCAGTATATGAATGACCAGAAGTGTTGATTGTTTCTACTAAAATGTTAATTTTATCTGTAAATACGGAGATACAAACTATAGGTTCATTATGTACATTACTCCAGCCATCTAAAGACATGGCTACAATTTTCCCATACAATACATTACATTTTTCAATTTCTTCTGTGTAAACCCTATCTAATATTTCTCATCCAATTTTAGTTCTATTAGGTAGAGTGTATCCTGGATAAAGCATATTAATAAACTTTAAAAAAAAAATAAAAAAAAATCATGGATTTAAAAAAATATATCTATATTGAAGATTAGTTATTATATTTGTAAACATAACCCTGTCTTAGTTTCCTGTTTTAAGTAAAAACATTAGTTTGGTTTAAACCAACATTTTTTTATTTGGTTTAAACCATGGTTTAAACCAATGGTTTAAACCATTTGGTTAAAACCATGCAACCCTGATTAAAAGATAAATTTTTCAAAATAAAGAAGCTTATAGTAATCAAATTATATCGAAAAAGAGGCTAAGAGTCTTCAACTAAAAGATCAAATGTAATTTCAACCTGAGGTCAGTATTTCATCAAGTATACCAAATTTAGGTTTTGATTTTTCAACATTCTTTAAAATTATAATAAAAAATAAAACTTTAATAAAAAAAATTGTCAAGGTTTGAAGTTGAGCAAGAAATAAAAAGACAATCCTAAAAGTAAAAATATGTTATTATTTGATTTAAGTCAGTTGATAATTATACAACAAGATTACCCTTTAGCATGGTAGAAAGCTTTTACATCTTTCATAGAACAAGATTACCCTTAGAATGGCAGGAAGCATATCTTGAAAAAATATTTTTATTTGTTTGTTTTTATATCAACTTGTGTTGTCACAATTTTAAATACTTAACACTTTTTATTTTTCTGTTATTGATAAATTCTCTTTTTTTTTTCCGATTATACAGGCTTGGTCGGGAAGCGGGTGCGATCGCACTAGATAACTGACCACAGAAATAATTTTTAATTGCGAAAAACCAGCCAGATTTTTTAGTCGTTTTGAGAACATTTAAATTTATGTTGGTTTCCTTAATTAAGTTCATTATTTTATCATAAATTTTGTTTTACGGACATACATGGAAACATACATAAACTCGAATGTTCTCAAACATCTTTGTGGGGAAAATAAAAAAAGAATATTTGCGAACACAAAATACCCGCCAAATCTACGAACAACTAATGCTATTGGTTCAAAAAATACTAACCGAAATTTCTAGAGTATTCTGTTGAAATATTTTAACAAATTGTATTATTTGAACTTTGTTATGTTTTCGTTGAGATTTCTAGGATAAATTGTTTTAAGAACATACTATCAAACAAACTATTATTTTAATTCTCATTGCCACATCTACAAAGCTATAAATGTTTTAAACTAACATTATTTATTTACAAAAATAAATGTTTTAAATTCATCTTTTTTAACTTGTCAACGTTTTGTAAATATATTATAGGTTTTATTAGTATATTCTTATTATTATATAATGGATTTTTTTTAATGTATATGATGTATTTTTTATGTAATGTATTTTTATGAATGTGGTTTTGTGCATTTAATTTTATGTATGTGTATTTTATTCATATGTAATCTTTTAAAGCAATTTGTGCGATTGATTTTGTATTCAATAATAACTGCGTTTTTAATGAAATTATTAATATTCATCAAAATTAATACAAATAATTTTAACTACTAATCAATTTTCCTCAGTGTACCCGATAACTGATTCTTTCCCCCAAGAAAGAAAAGTTTTTAAGTTTATAGAAATTGGTTGACTAACTTTACTTATTTTTGCTTCAGCCATTCTTACAAACTCGTTATACTTAAACTTAAAGTTATTTTCTTTCTGTTTTAAATACTAATTAAAATTATAAAGCCCACTTATTAAATATCTTCAGCGTTATTGTGAAGCAGTTCCGCTTCCTCCTCACAAAGTAATTTAACGTTTTTAGTTAATTTCTATTTAGCTAAATGAATTTCTGCAGTAACTCAATGATTTAATTATTTCATTTGTTCATCTTACTAAGAAAAATTGTTTCAAATGTGTTAAACTTTTCAAACTACGCAAAGCATAAAACAGTTATTGAAAAAACTTTTTTATTTATAAATAAATCATCTAGCGTTAGTTTTATTGGTTGAATCTTTTTGGACTTTTCAGGACCAGGGACTGCATTATTTTGGCGACCTTTTTTATGTGCCACAGCATAAAAATGACAAAAAAATACCGAATGGTCCTCTTGATTATTTCGCGGCCCCCAACATTGTGAGTCTCGAGGCTATAGCCCTTCTACTCCCCCCCCTACCTCCTCAATCCAGCACTGGAAATAAGACATAAGTATATAAATAAAAATTATATATATTCTTTAATAAATCGAAGAACATTTGTTTCCTAATTAAACAATCATTAATAGTATTTTGTTGCTTTATACAAAAAATGTCGCTTAATTTTATAAAAAAAAATTATAAAAGAGCGACGTTTCAAAAATATTTGCTCTAATCATATTTATTTTGCTTAAAGTTTTTTCGTGTCTTTTTTAACTGTCTCTCATCGGTCCAGTTAATCTTATTGCGCTTTTTAGTTTGTTTTTGAAATGTTCTCAAAACGACTAAAAAATCTGGCCGGCTTTTCGCAACTAAATATTATTTCTGTGGTCATTTATCAAGTGCGATCGCACCCGCTTCCGTCCAAGCCTGATTATAATTTTTTCAAATTTTTCCATGTTAAATTAATAAATACATTTTTACCCATAGCTACTGTGTTTTTTCCAGAAGAGTGGATAAAATACTTGCCCAGCTGTGCAACAAAATATTTTATTAGTAAATATTTTTAATAATAATGTTCAAGAGATTTTAATTAACATTCAAGAGTTTTCTGGTAGAATAGTTCACCATTCATCATTAAATAAGATTTTAGGTTTTTCTTATACAAATGTTATACAGGTTTTTGCATTTTTTTTTTTTTCATGTAACAGTTCTTCCTTTTTTAAATTAAAAATATTTTTTTTTAATGTAAATGAAAAACAATAACTCTCATAAAGATTTTTTTTTTTAATTTTTTTTATTTTTAGTTAAAAAAATTAAAAACACATTTTTTTAACCAAACTTATTTAATTTCTGTTAAAATAAAATCGTGGCATCAGGTTTGGGTCTAAGTATTTGCATAATAGGTCTGTTTGCAATAAAGCCCAATCCATTAAATGCATTATCATAGATACGCTTAATACAGATTCATGTTAATATAGATATGATTTTTATGCACATTATTGTAGAAAGGCATTTTATTTCAAGAAAAAAATTTATGATTTAATATTGTGTAAGGCTTTAATATTATATGTTGTTAACTGCTTTTATATTTTTAAACAATTTATTAATAGATTTTTTTTCAATATACATTGGTATAAGCATTAGTTTTTTTTTTTTTTTTTTTTTTTTGTATTTTGAACATACTAATAATTATACAAATAATATATATTAAATATTGATATATCATGTGTAAAAAAATCCTTTTGTGAATGAAAACTCAAAAAAAAGATTGTGAATATACTTACTCCTGCTCTCTGAACATATATTGGATGTGACAAATGAACATTCTTTAACAGAAACAGTAAAGCTTCTAATGTATAATATTCCTTTGGTGTAGTTCTAAAAAAAAATGAAATTTGAAAACAGTTTATAAGCATTCATTTTTAAAAGATCCCTGCAAATTGTGTTCATCATTTTTATTTATTTTTTTTTTATATTGTGACTTAATTTTTACATTTGTGACTTTAAATACAAGTAAGGCATCAGCAGAAGTATTTTTATAAAAATTGGCTATTTTATTGTGGTTACAACTATATCTCATCTCTTTAACTACAAAATAGAAACCTTAAAAAACATAATCGCTTCACAGAGAAACAAGTTAAATCGTGGTACTACCAGGGACATGATGGGAATCAAATTAGGAACTTCTGGCTTATAAAGCAAGTGCTGTACACTACACCACTACCACTAAACCACTACCACATCACCTCTACATGCTAAAATCTGTATGATGGAAAAAAGTGTGTTTTCTTGCTCATTAATGTTTAGAAAACATTTAGTTTTGATACAATAATAATGTATGTGAGATTACGCAAATCAATATTAATCGGAAATGAATAAAATTTAGATATCTACCCAGATAGTGTTATTAAGAGAAACAATTTGAATGTAAATATTCATTTCTATTTAAACTGTTTGCCTTAATAAAATTATTATTAATATTTATTACCAAATTAAATTGTTCATTTTTTATTTCACATTATTTCAAGAATAAAATAAAATTTGTTTTAACTTTATTTATTTTAGCTAAATTTTTCAGTTTAATAAAATTTGTTTTTTATATGACATGTGTAATAATAGTATAATAATAGAAATACATCAAAAACACTAATTATAACATAATTATAGTAATTATAAAACAAAAACAAAACTAAAAAGACTTCAAGTTTAATGTTACTAGTATTTATATCAATACTTTTTGGAGTTTTTCATACTATTATTTTTTTATTTTTTTATAAATCAACTGACATGTTATCTACAGCAAAATGTTGTTAATTATACATTTACTGTTTCCATAAGGTACAGATAAATAATTCTTTAATATCAGATTATGGTATATTTTTATATTTTTATTAAATTGAGGCAAATATATTAATCAAAATGTTGTTTGCTTGTTTTTTAACTTAAAGCAATATTAATTCATAAGCATTTGTATAACATTTTGTAATAAAGAATAACTACATTATGTCATATTTTAAAAAAAATCTCTGAAAATAACACCTGATTTTGTTGCAAATGTTATATTGCTAACAGCGCCAGGACCTGTCCCTGGCGCTGTTAGCAATGTTATGTTTTAGGGCCCTTTTTATAACTTTTTAAAAAATTTCTGTTTTTATGACATTTTATGTTAAGACTGAGAATGCGTGAAAAAGACAACTATGTAAAGCATGATATAAAAATAATTAGTATATTTTTGTTTCCATTTTTAGTTAATATTTTCAACAATTTTGACATATTAAGGCCTCTATGATTGTGGGGCCCTAGGACGTAGCCTAGTCAGCCTATTGATAAATCCGGCCCTGATTGCTAATCATCAATAAGTTAAAAAGTATGCAAAAAATAAAAACTACAATCAAGTTAAATAACTAAATATAGATTTTATAATATTCTGATTTTTACCTGCCAATAACATAGTTTGTCTTTGCAGTCTTTAGAAATGATATGGTATCAAATATAATTTGATCCTCTCGCTCTAAAACAGTTTTTTTGTTAATTGTAAACTGCCTTAAAAGAGTTAGAGGATCTGCCATGGTTTTTTTTTTTTTTTTATATCTGTAAAAAAGGAATAATGATAAAGATAGTTATTTATTCTATTAGAGTATATTTTATATATATATATATATATATATATATATATATATATATATATATATATATATATATATATATATATATACATATAGATATATATATATATATATATATATATATACATATATATATATATATATATATATATATATATATATATATATATATATATGTATGTATATATATATATATATATATATATATATATATATATATATATATATATATATATATATATATATATATATATATATATATATATATATATATATATATATATATATATATAGATATATATATATAGATATATATATATATATATATATATATATATATATATATATATATATATATATATATATATATATATATATATATATATATATATATATATATATATATATATATATATATATATATATATAGACGCACATACACACACACACACACACACACACACATATAAATGCATATTAAAGAACTTTTCTTTTAACTTGTTTATAATTAACATATAAAAATGTTGATTTAAAGATATCTTTAATGAAAAAGGATAATTGGTATGCAAATAATCGATTGTTATAAAGGAGACCGTCTCAAATATGAAGACCAAAATATTCACCAAATTCATTTGACGCGGTCCGCACACTTATGTTTACGATGTAGGGGAAAAAATAAAAATGGTAGCTTATCAGTTTGATAAAGTGTTCTACATCTTAATATTTATACTTTTTCTGGCCAGATTTTTAAAGCGCTTTAATTGTATTGTGCTTCTGCTTTATGCTTTATAATAATTCTAAATTAAAAGATTAGAATGGTTTACTTAATTACTATTATTTACCAAGATCAAAAAGTGTACAAAAAACACTTTAAATGTATTGTGCATCTGCTTTATGCTTTATAATGACATTAAATCAAAAGATTCAAATGGTCTACTCAAATACTATTGTTTACCAAAATTAGAAAGTGTAAAGAAACCTATACGAAGTTGTTTCAAACAAGTTTATAAAAAGAAAGCTAAAATATAAACAATTTTCCAGACATTTATATTCCAGTTTATAATAAGAAAAAAGATGTGAAAAAAAAACTGACTAGCTAAAATAAAACTTGAATCAATCTTAAAAACAAAGATATATACTGAAACAAAAATAAAATTTAACAAAGAGAAAATTATAGTTATAAAAATTATAAAAGGAATCCTTTACATACACAAATTCAAAATTAAATTTTCAAAATGTTAAAAATCTTGAAAAAATTACTATGGGAGCAAACTTTAAGTTGTTATAAACTTTATTAATGGTTATAACATAACAAAACCAAGTTGCTAAATTTAACTTTTGACATAGCAAAATTAGATTGCAAAACATGATTTCAAGATAATTTAAATTTTTTGTCTTACAACCATATATTGAATTTACTGTTTCTTTAAGAATTACTAATAAGGTATAATTTTGTTTAATTTAAATAGGTATAATTTTGTTTAATTTTAAAATGTTTGATGTATTAGCCTCTAGCAAGTATGATTAAAAAACGTTAAGTATTGCATCTGTACACTCAATCTGTAGCTGGCATTGAACATAAAATTGAGGAAAATTTTCTACTTGTTGTTTATGGCCTAACACAATCAACACATCTTGAGTTTTCTAGTCTAACAAACTTCTTGAAGGAACTAATTTATCAGGGCTAGAACCATATTTATTGTTGATTAGGCTAATAAAGTAAAGATATTTTTTAACTTATACTTTAGAAAGAAGTTTTTAAATAATTTATTTTTTTGAATATTTTCTAAATTACCTAGGCCTAGTGTAGATGCCCTTTTATAAAAAACATTCCAATTTAATACAAAGCTAAAAAATGTTTCCTAAAAAACCACATAAATTAGATTGTAAAGCAGCTGTAATTTTATGTTTTCTGTGATCATGCCACCAGGCCCGGCGCGAGTAGGTGTCACGTAGGGAGGGGGGGTGCTATTACAACCTTTGCCGTCAAAAAAAAAAAAAAAGGTCCTCGTTTTCGAAAATTTGCCGACTACCATGACGACATTTGCCGACTAACTGTCTAAATTACCGACTAACCTATATTGAAAGGGTCGACACTTGCCGACTTGCTAGTGAAAAAGGGTCAAATTTGCTGACTAAAAATCATTGATGAGGGGGTGTCACACCCCGCACCCCCTAACGCGCCGGCCTTGCATGCCACCCTTTTTCCATTTTGTTCTATGTTATGCTTATGTAATTATTACCATATTGTTTTGGAGCAATGAGGTTACTAAGGTCAATATTTACCATATTATTATTAAAAAAACTCTCTACTAATAACAAACTTTGTACATTGGTATTTTCAGTATGATTTGGGATAGTAGTGTCACTTTTAGTATTATTTTTAAAAAAGTTATTATTTCCTAGCATTATTATGATTTGAATCATCGGTGAGTTTATTGATAAAAAATTCAATGTTTTCAATTTTATTGTTATCTATGTGAAGTATATTTGGATCAAATAATAGGGTATTAAAACAAATATAATCGATAAAACAAAGGCACTTCTTTGTAAGTATTTGTAATGTAAATGTTGTCAAACAGGTAATTTGCGTTCAATTATCAATTTCATTACTACAAAATAAACACGTTACATCTAAACAGCCATTTTTAAAAAGTGTTATTTCAATTTCTAAACAATAAATCCTTTTAAAAATATTACATCCTTTTAAAAATAGTTTAGTTTTGGATCTGCACTTATAGCAACTATGTCATCTTTTTAATTTCATTTTTTTAAGACTCAGTTAATCTTAAAAAATTTTATTTTTTTTAAGACTCAGTTAATCTTATCATTATTGTATTTAAAAACACAAAAGTGAAAATAAGCAACCTAGTGCACAATCTGCTAGAACTAACAGGACAACTGCAATGCTCTATTTCAAGATTAAATCAATCAAAAAAAAACATATTCATAGATTTAAATAACTTATAACCAGATAACTATTTTATTTTGCAAACTTTGTAACATTCTTTATGTTTTTTTAGGAAGTTCGCAGTTTCCTTCCTTTTTATGGTCACAAAACTTGTAAACGATATCTTCACTAATTTTTTTATCGTAAAATATCTTTTATGATGACCGTTCAGCTATAATTTTAGGTATTTTAAGTGAGACTGCATTAAAAATACGTGTTTGTTATTCAATAACAATATTTAGTGGCTTTATTTTTTTTTAAGCCTAATAAATATTGTTATTCAATAACAATATTTATTAGGCTTCAGTTGTTTTTTTTTAGCTTTAAATAACGTAAATACATTTGCATTTTGTTTCGCAATTCCTCGAAAGTACCACATAAGACTCCTTTTTTATCTCTTATAATCATTTACGTTTTTAATTGTGATGAATTAGGAATTAGGAACTAATAGTAGAAACGACAGTATTGCTTAAATGTTTTTTTTAGTAAAAAAGTTACCATCTTTACTTTTTTCCCTACATCGAATTAATTTCGAAACCAGGCCTCTGAAATGAATTTGGCAAATGCGTTCACTTATTAATGAAACAGGTGCGGAACATTACCATAATTATACGCATTTGATCCGGAAATCAGTCATTTTATAACATTTTTTTTTTTTCATAACATCCATTTCATAACATACTATTTCAATAACCCTGACAAGTTAAAATAAAAAATAAATTTTCAAATATTCAAAACAATTTTTAAATGCTTTTATATATTATAATACTCTTTAGATGTTAAGCAAGTTTTAATAATATTTTATAATATATGTGAATATATATATAATATTTCCAATATTTAATATTATGCAAAAACAAACAAAAAAAACAAATAATAAAAGTAAATAAAAGCTTGAAAAATTACAAATTTCATCAGAATTTATGTAATGCTAATATATAATATTTATTTTATTTATTTATTTATTTATTTTGTCATTAAATGAATAATCTTTTACAATGTTTTTTTACAACATAAAAATTATAACATTAAAGTTTCGACCGGAGCTGGCAGAAGACATGATCTAATCATCTAGCCCCGTTAATATAACTAAAAAATTCAGCCGATAAAAATGAAAAAGGAAAAAAGAAACTAAAGCAAGAACTGATTTTAAGAAGAAAAGAACTTAAAAATCAAATTATTATTTACAGAAAGAGAAAAAAATAAAAAAATAAAAAATAAAAAAATAATAAAAATATTAATTATTTCTTCTCATTATTATTATTATTTTTTTAATTCTCTATTTTATTCTACTTTTATTTTTATTATACACGCACGCACACACACATACGCACACGTACACACAAATATATGTCCGTTCATATATACATACAAATCAAATAAATCTGTATTACATTCCATCTACAAATTGCGTAAGATATATTAAATATTGCATTTACAAATTACGTATTGTAAAATAAAATAATATCATACATGTTCTAAGTACCATACAATATAATTGTGATGTTGAGTCAATTTATAAGACATTAAATAACTAAGATTACCAAAAGTTTTTAATAATACGATAGTAATTGCTTTGTGTCAAAACCAAATAAGTGTTGTTTTGTTGCACGTTTAAAATGTTGAACTGAATTTAAAGTTTTTATATTACTTGTTAAAAGTAAGTTCCATAACCGTGGCCCTCGGCAATTCCAAGTTATCAACGAACTGTTAAATGTATACCGATGATATTAAACTAATTAACATAATTAGATCGTCTTCTGATAAGAAAAGACTCAAACAGATCTAAACAAATTAATGACATGGTCACAATTATGGCTATTAAAATTTAATGTCTACAATTGTAAACGCATGCATATAGGTAGCAAAAATATTAAGCATATATGCACAATATATGATTCAGTGTCAAATAGAGTTGAGCTACCAGAAACCAAAATTGAAAAAGATTTAAGAGTTACAATTTCAAACAACTTAAAATGGTCTAGTCAAGTTAATTATGTGTCTGGTAAATATTTATTTAAAAACT